TCGCATGAATATCAGGTTGCAAAGCACGACATCTATTCTTTGTCACCGGCCACTAACGTTTGGCTTGGACATGACTCCAACGTGTTGTCACCGGCTGTTAGTGTATGGCTTGCGTATGGCACCAACGTGTTGTCACCGGCAGTTAACGNGTCCCTTGACAAAATGTCACATGAATATCAGGTTGCAAAGCGCGACATCTATTCGTTGTCACCGGCCACTAACGTTTGGCTTGGACATGACACCAACGTGTTGTCACCGGCAGTTAGTGTATGGCTTGCGTATGGCACCAACGTGTTGTCACCGGCAGCTAACGTTTGGTTTTCACGTGACAACACGTTGGTGTCACCGGACATGAAAGTGTTAATGCGAAAATTGTCTCCCAAATTAGTTAAATGTATAACTACCAATGAAATTTAGTAGATCGACGCTAGTAAAATGATACTACTATTGAATTCACGATGCATTTGCTAGAAGATAGTTTTATGCGATTAATGGTGCAAGAGTTATTGGAAATTGCTGTGCTTCTGAAACTAATTTGGTACTGATTTAAGAAGGGAAAGCTAGGTAAGTAAATGTTGATTGATACCTTATCACCCTGAATTCTCCGAAAAATGTTTAACATCAGTATCAATAATTAGTACAAAGGTATTCAAATGTAGTAACTAATTACGGACAGAGGAAATATTCGTTTTGTGATGAAAATATCAAAAGTGTAAAAAGTGGTAGATAAATTAATCCTTATTCATATTTTATCCAGGATATGCACTTAACCATAGTAGAAGGAGGAGGGAAAAGGAATTGAAACAATATTTTTGTCAGATATAGACAAAAAAAGTTGAATTCAAGTAGTATTTGTGCAAAGTAGAGACAGGAAAGGACGTTAGACTAAGGCTATATTTTCCCCAAATTTAGTGTTTAAACTTTAATTTTTTTTTTTTTTTTTTTTGCAAATTCGATTTCCCTAGAATTTATATTAAACAATATATCTGCTTTTATTTCCTTTACAAATATTCATTTAACGTCCCCAGTTAAACTATAATTTCATTTCATATTTATTATTACGGAAAACACAAAGAAACTTTCAATGACCTCGTGATGGTTTACACATTTTTTGATTAAGACTTTTTCAAATAATCATGTTGCAAATATTACATAATCAAATGAATTTTGTGCGCAGATAATCAATCTCATTTTCAGACGTTTTGACATTTTCTTATTTTCAATGATTACATTGAATGAGATGATTGAGGTGACAAAGAACAAAAACAAATCCCAGATTTATAAACTCGTTTTCTTTGAAGAAAAAAAAATTCTCTAGAAACTTTAAGAAACTCAAGACATTTTTTCGTTCTAAAGTAAGCATTGCATATTTATGAGGATAAATAATTCTTTCAGGAAGAGTGACTGAGATATTGAACATTTTGATGATTTTCCTTATTTTCAATGCTAGAAATCTAATATGTATCAGCGATGGTTTCACAACGTATTTATCCAATTTTCAAACGAAATGACGGGAATAATAATTAAACATCCTTTTAATCCATAAGTGATTAAAAATGTTTCATGCCTGTATAATTGTTTAAAAATACATTTTAAATTGAATCAATGATCTAAAAAACCGGTCATGATCAAGAAATCTAATTTTAAGGGAGAAACAAAAAACAGAAGAGTTAAGTATCAGCCGGATATAAAGAGCTCTTTTATTTTTTGATATTAAAATAATGTTTGGTTTCAAAATATCCTATTAAAATTGTGCGAAAATATCACTTCATTTAATTAAAAAAATAATTAGAACTCGGATATGACCTGTTTTTGGACAAACCCTTAAAAAGAATATTATAAATTATTTTTAACAAGGACAAAGATTAATAATTTGCCATTTTGAAATGAAATAACAAATTTAATTACGTATTCAAGGATATTTGTGTAGATTAAGAAATGTTTTAGTTTATGACTATCAGCGTTGGTTACTTACAAATTTTTTTAACGACAAAAACTCACTTGATTTATATTATTAAAACTTTGTGTAAACTACCAATGAAAGATCTACTTCACCCGGTGTAGTACTTTTATAAGTATAGCTGTTAATAATACGACACCTGAAACTATTGTTTCTCCTTTCTACATGAACAACAACGGCAGCCATCTAAGTTTAGGTCGCGAACAGGCAACGCCTCCTCTGAAACTGAAGCCTCCACACGGTTTCTTATAGGTAGTCCGATTAAACCAATATGAAGGTAAACCAACTTACGAAAGAGCCATTTAATAGAAAATTTAGTAAATATAAGAAAGTAGTAGCAAATATTTGTCTAAATTTTTTTTTAAATTTTGGAATATGATATGTCTTATTTACTACCTAATACTGAACTACTACCCAGTACTGAATTTACTACCCAGTACTGAATATGTCTTATTTACTACCCACTACAGATTCAATTCTCAAATATATATGATAAATTTCTCTCAATTACTTTTAAAATAGAATTTGGGGTCCTGCACACAAATGGTTCACTTTTCAGATAGTCTGAGCAAACTACTTCAACAAAACCGTGTGGAGGCTATCTAATGTAGGAGGTGATGGAACAGGTCACCTCCAGGGTTTGGTACGCTTTCGAACTACACTGGTGGACAAAATTAAGAGATGGAAGACATTTTCCCAAATATCTAAAAAAATACTGTATATTAGTAAATGAAATTTGTTATGGATATAGCTTATTCCATGATAATAAAGTATGGAAAACAAAAATGAAAATGCCATTCACTGGCAAGACCTATTGCCAATAAATCCAATGTAGTCTGAACTTAAGGATAAAAGATGACAATAAAAGTGAGGCTTGTGCAGTGTGTGTTGCCTCTAGTATGGTGTATGGTCACCCCTGGCGCAACGAGTATGCATGCTGTTAATAAGGGAGTTAAGGAAGACGTGTGGAAGACCCTCCCATTCTTCCACCAGAGCAATTTTTAACTCCAGAATGGTTCTGGCAGAAAGTTGGCGCATCGCAATAGCTCTCCCAAGAGCATCCCAAGCATGTTCAATAGGATTCAGGTCAGGGGATTTAGCAGGCCAATTCATTCGTTGAATATCCTCGCTTTCCAGATACTCATCAACCATGAGAGCCCTATGTGGTCGCGCATTGTCGTCCATAAAAATGAACTCAGGGCCAACAGCGCCCCTGAAAAGACGCACATAGGGCTCTAGGACCTCCTGCCTGTACCTCTGGGCATTCACGGAACCATTGTCAAGCACATGGAGCGGTGTGCGGGTCTCTTGCATGTGCGAATGAATGTGCGAAAATGCTTTCCATTTCTTAATTTTGTACACCAGTGTAAATTGGGATTTCACTACGTAAAATATACTATACCTGGTTGAAAAATATATGAATTTTTTATATTCTAACAATGTATCTATGTTAGCTGAATTAAAAATGAAAGAATCTCACTTTTGAAAAAAAAGTGGAGATGACTAGATTTCAAACTCATTAACTCAATTACTTAAAATTTTGTCACAAATAAGGCTTAGTACAAATGTTAATTGAAAAGATTTTTAAAATATATTCCAACATAAATATAAAAAAATTAAAACTTATTAGAATTTTAAAAAAAAAAAAACGTTTCAAAATATTTATATTTTCAAACATAAAAAATAAATTCATTTCATATAATATTTGATCTAAGTTTTATTTGTTACCATAAGTTACCATAAAAATTTAGAACTGAATTTCTTGAAAAAAGTTATTGAGCTGCTGTTATATCTGTAATTCCATGTAATTAAGAAATTGCATTTATTAATAAATAGATAAATTTCGTTCTTTTTTTCAAAATTTTGTTGAAATTGAAAAATAGATAATATCGTTTTTTCAAAATTTTGCTTATGCAATAGATTTCTTTCATAAATTTCAAAAACAGGGTAACTTTAAATTAATAAATGTAACGTTCCATAGTCTTACAAATTAAAAGTTGAATAATATTGTTTTAATTCATGCTGTGTTTTATTTAATTTAAATTCAATATTATTATTCTATTGATCAAATATGATGTTATGGTATAATGTATTGGTTATTAAGGTTCAGTATTTTTGGTATGGCATTAATAAATTCAAAAAAAGGATGATTTCTTCAATTAACCCTAATGAAGGCCGTAGTAAGTATACTTACCACCATGTTTTACCACTTTTAATTTAGGTTTCCATTTTTCAATAACTTCAGCTTTCTTGAAGTGAGTTTGAATAAAATTGTTAACCATTTGTCACTTTTGAAAAACGTATAAAATTATAAAATACATAATTTCGTTTGAAGTTTGTAGCATTTAGGGAATTTATTTTATAAATAAAGAAAAATAAAAGTCAGTAAGTTCCTATTAGGTCATGTTAAATATATTTAATACCAAAAAATGGCATTCTTATGAACTAAATGAGTTTTTTTTTTAATATCAATTACTGTTCTTAAAGCAATTTCAATTCCAAAAATACTTTAATTTACCTTTACTAGAAATAAAAGCCTGTTAAAGGGTTAATTTTAAAAACATGGTTACCCTAAATTAATAAATGTAATGTTTCGTAGTCTAATTAATTAAAGGTTGAGCAGTATTGTTTTAATTCGCTTCAGGTTTCATTTAATTTAAATTCAATATTTAAAAGTTTTCTCCATTGATCAGAGTGAAGTAATGGTTTGTTACTTATACTTTTTTAAAAAAGGGTCTTTTTTTAGCAATTTTTAAGAGTAGGCAATTCTTAGGCAATTTCGGAAATGATATGTATACTTTATTTGATTTTGCTTTTATCTAAACCTTTGTAAACAACAATCAATTTGCTGATAGCATGAAATAACATTCAGAAAAAAGAATCAGCAGTACAGACATATAATAGCAAAATCCAGATTTCTTAATTGCAAAAAATGCGTATAACATAAAATATCTAATCAGTTTTAAATAGCAAGCAAAAACTTCCATCAGTAAAAAAATTTAAATTTAACTTCAAAACATATATACAAAAAAATCATTACCTGTAAGTTGTTTCTAAGTTGGTAATCCGGACGCTGTGGATAAAAATTGATGGCACATTATCGATCAGTGGCCGAGGATGTAAAGACGTCCATAAGACATCTACTCTTAACAAGCGTCCAAGATTTCCAGCACTTATCAAGAATTCTAAGGCATTCCCTCTGGCAAAAACAACCGGCCTGAAAAAAATCGCAGCAATTAGAATACCTCTTTTCTTATTGAACAAACCATTACATGATTGCAAGAAGTTTGCCTCATTTATAAGCTTTTAGGATTTACTGATGTCAAAGTTTTAGCTTGCATAGACTTTTACTTTTTTATGTAATTGTGTCCATGACTCTCTTAGAGTAAAAAAATGTTTAGTGAATTTTAAGTGCCGATTTTCTTAATAAATTCAAAACAATGTAGTTTGCGTTGGAAAGAAACAATGCTAATTTAAGAAGTCATAAAATTTCAATAATTTATACTTAACCGTCAAAACATTTTTAATTAGCACCATAACTGTTATTACCTCATAAATATAAGAGATAATAATCAATATTTGAAATTGCTGAAATAAGTATAGTTGAGATGATATAATAACTCTAACTTTTTCTCTCACTATATATATATATATATATATA